AAATAAGGAAATGGTGTCTAGTGATGCATTGCATGCATGGTTAGGCCCTATTAAGACCGTAAGATAAGATCGTGCTGTATTATGTTTTTGTTTTACAATCTATAGTCTGATGTAATTGCAAATGTAATCAAAGTCAATGCCTTGACTTATACTCATTTGTTTATTTTACAGATTGATAATAAATCCATAGGGCTTGGTCTCAAATAACGGTTGATATAATCATATAACTAATGTTTGGTTTGGACTATAGTCCCTATATACTCAAAAGCTAATTGAAGATAAATGAAACCATTTTGAACCGTGAACAACATTTTCGAGAGGTTTGCATAGAAGGTTTGATGAAACAAGTAACATATTCTAAGAAGTAACTTACAGCATCTGCACGTGAACATTTTCATATCATCATATGCCATATATTCATAACCCTAGCAAGCGGATAAAAGAAAATATTTCCAAATGATAAAAAAAATTAATAAGATTTGCAAGCAAATAGTCAAATACTAAAGGATGCTGCTATTTAGAAGAATGAAAACAAGGAGCTAAATGGGTTTGGTGAGGATAACACACAAGTTGGTTATGGATACGAGTCTTAATCGAATCATAAGCTTGCTGATTTTTTCTTATGCAAATATACTTTTAATTTTGATTACTTCTAAAGCTTATTAAAGTCATTTTGCGACATAACTATGTTTAACTTTATTTTGATCAGTTAGATATTCCGTCCAACATAGATAATAACATGTTTATAATTAAAAGAAGAAGCTAAGATTTTTGTATTTTATCAAACATTGTTTCACTACAAGAAAACAAGCAGTATTTCGACGGAATTTCCGACGGCCGAAATTTCTGTCGGAATTTTCCGACGGCATCCCGACGGATTTTCGAGCAAAATAAATCCGTCGGAATTTTGTGACGGATTTCCGACGGACACAGAAACCGTCGGTATTCCGTCGGAAATCCGTCGTCTTGTCCCGACGGATTTCCGACGGAAATAAACTGTCGTAATTTTRCGACGARTTTCCGACGGAATAACGARGGAAATCCYATTTTTCCGATGTCGGCAAAGTTTGATTGGTCAGCTCATACCGACGGAACTATTTCCGTCGGAATTCCGATGTCGGCAAAGTTTGAGTGGTTACCATTTCGTTAGCGGTGGCAGATGGGATTGGTGGGGTGTTATGTCAGAGGTTTTCGACGGATTTCCGAC